CAACTTTATAATGGCGATTAATGATTTCTCTCAGCTTTTTCTTCATAGCCCTTTCCGGCATAACACCTTCCCATTCTTCGGGTATGAAAATTCGAACAGGTTCCACCTCATCTGCTGGTGGGCAAACAACTTCCCCCACTCGAACAAATGGTTCTGTCTCATCCGCTGAATTAGGTGGTGGTGCAGCCGCAACATTCGCTAGAATCACTGGTGCTACCTCTGATATAGTAGAGTCAGGCGGATCCATCTCCATTGAATCAGAGTCCTCAGGTGCTGGGATCTCCGGAGACTCTGGATCTGGGCTTGCTGGAGAGTCTACAATCTCCTTCTCCACAGCCGCTGGACTCTCGGGCGACTCGAGGTCCGGGCTTGCTGGAGAGTCTCGAATCCCCTTCTCCACAGCCGCTGGACTCTCTGGAGACTCGGGGTCCGGGCTTGCTGGAGAGTCTAGAATCTCCTTCTCCACAGCCGCTGGACTCTCGGGAGACTCGAGGTCCGGGCTTGCTGGAGAGTCTAGAATCTCCTTCTCCACAGCCGCTGGACTCTCTGGCGAATCATTCACGTTTTCACTGACATCGGGTGAGATGGTGTTGGGATCTAATGGAGCATCCCAAGCATCATCATCATCATCATCATCACTGTCAGTAAAGTTTCCAATCTCCTACTCTCCATCTGACGAGCTGATTGACTCAATTGCATCCCATTGCAAATCTCGCTTCATCCTCTCCGAAGTTTCCAACTTTTGAATAAATTGACGAATTGTGATCACTTCACAAGTTGAAATCCTATTACTTGTTGATTGGTCAGCATCAACAGACATCACAAAGGCAGAGCACTTTAACACTCACGTCGCAGAATCAAAATGAGCTCTGCACTGGGGAGGAGATATCTTATAAGCATTAGGATTTCATTTACCCAACGAGAGATCCCCCCCTCCAATCACATTTTTTTCATCATGCAGCTAGAGAACTTGGAATCCATAAAAATGTCAGCACTAGTCCATCTTGATGAATATTGTATTAATATTAAGAATACGTGACTGGGTGGGTGAGGTTCAATTGTATGAAAAGAGGTTTACTGAGAAATTCAACGGAAAAAAAATTCTGAAAATTCTCAACGGTTTCGGCTTCCTCAGTATCGTAAGGCCATAGAGTCGGATAGGTATTTTTTAAACTAACATTATGAAAACGTGATCAAGTTGGTGTCACCACTCCCTCCAACATTGTGGAGATGTGCACACCATCCACCCAAGCTATTCAGTGGGGGTGGATTGCTAGAGGATTGAGCAACATTCACAGTTATTTTTACAATATGGCAGTTGTCATTGATATTGAAGGTTTCAAAAATTTTGGCAACGAATTTGTTGTAAAAGAATTTGCAATTTCCGCGCTAGAACTTGATGGTGATCGAAAGTTCGTGCATGTGGCAGTTTTAGTAGATCCACCGCATGAATAGGATGAATTGCTTCCCAAGTACAAAGAAGTGAATCAGTGGTTGTCACGTCACTACCATGGGCTACATTGGAACACTCCTGGAGATATCAAATACGAGACATTAAGTGAATATGTGAATAATATTGTGAAAAATGTTTCACACATTTACGTTCAAGTTGCAGAGAAGAAAAACTGGCTACAGCAATTTCTCAAGAATGAAGTGACAATTGAGTATTTCAATGACTTTGGTAGCCCTGATATGGAGCCCCTGGAAGGTGAGGGTGTTTTCAAGTGCGTCTACCATCACAGTCTTTTTGATGGTAGTTCTACCCAGTACCATTGCCCCCTTGAACATGTGCAACCTCTGAAAAAATGGTTCACCAAGTACAATGCAGGGTCTCTCGAGAAATCCTTGAAGAAATATTGCGAAACTCAGCATTTGAATGCACTGACCACTCAGGAAATTGCATTCCTACCGAAGCATTTCATCAAAACCATTGCCAAGGACACCGTGGATGCGGCTTGAGACAAGTTGCCAGAGATGATGAAGAGGGATCCACACATCGCCAAGCTACGTTATTGCCGCACGCATTGGTCTTCCATATCGGCCTCATCACTCAATCCAATCCCCCCACCAATAGCTAAATGCCCTCTGTGTCTCTATCATCGCTGCTAATACACTCGAACTCACAGTATATTATTATTGAATAAAAATCACGTATGGATGTATTTGTGTGTAT